ATTAAAATAGGATAAAATATTAAACATTAAGCAAATGCTAATAGGAAAAAAAACCCAAACCTTATAGCCACACAAACTGGCTATAACTAGGTTTTAAAAGAAATCCAGTTTATCTATTGTTTTTTTAGGGATTCATTAGAAGTCACTCAATAAGACTGACAAAGCAAGAATATACAAATACACAAAAAATATGACAAAGACTTTAAAGACCTGCAAACAGATACAATATCAGTTGAGAAAATCGGACTGATAAATGCATTTATTTAACGACATTTCAGAAATTCTCTTTCTTAAGCTGGAAGAGGGAAAAACAAACTCGTCAAACAAAGCATTCCTCTGCACCCCATGCGTAATATAGAAAGAAAACCCCAAGCAGAATCATTGCTAATAACATTATCTTCTTTTTTAAAAGAAAATGAAGATTGATATTAGGAGAGAATCAAAGCAGCCAATTTCAAAGCAGAAGAGATGGGGAGGAGGAGAGAGGAGAGAGAGAAGTCTATGTAATTAAGAATATACATTGACTCAATTACAAAATATGTCAATTCCTAGAGACAGATTGCTATAAAACCTTTGAAAGCAAGGAAATTAGACTGAATGATGTGTTCGAACAAGCCTCTGTCAAAGAGGAAAATTTCCCCAAGAAATCCTTGCAGTTCTTGAATACGACCCAGAATAGTATACACCAGGCAGAAGTGCAAAAAAAGTGGCCGCGTTCATCAGAATCCTCGTGGAATTTAATTGGGATTACTCCCAGGTTAGTGTTTACACAAAAATTGCAAGCCTGAGAGGGAACCCCTGTTTTAAAGAAAGCCCTAAGTAGAATAGCCAGTGGTAGTTCTTTCCAATGTTGCAGAGACCACAAGATCCTACAACTTGACTTTTCTCCCTGCTGCTGGGATGATCAAAGTGAAGTCAACAAACATTGGAAGACCACGTGGTTAACCTGCGAGGGCGCATGTGGAATTCCAAGCACCGAAGTTCAGAAATCCATACGTATGTTTAGCTCTAACAGAGGGGAAAACAGCTTCATATATTACACAGCAAATAGAAACACAGTATATTAACAAGCAATATAAACCTTGATATATTAACAGCAATATGAACCTTGCCAACAAAGGTCTGTATAGTAAAAGGTATGGTTTTCCAGTAGTGATGTACGAAATGAAGACGGACCATAAAGAAGGTGATCGCGAAGAATTATGTTTTAATAATGGTGGGAGAGACTCTTGAGAGTCCCATGACTGCAAAGAAGATCAAACCTCTCCATTCTTAAGGAAATCAAGCCCTGAGTGCTCACAGGAAGTACAATCCTGAAGCAATACGGACAAAAAGAAGACTCAAAAATATTTGGAATACACAGAAGAGAAAAGGAAGATGTACATGTATCAATAAAGAGAAGAATATATAAAGACAAATACGAGAGAGGCAGATAGAAGAAGAAAAAACAAGGAGTGCACAATGAGACGGTGCTCTGTCCATGGTCACGAAGAGTCGACACGACTAAAACAACAACAAGTTATTTATATGTCAGGTTCTGAAGTGATCAGCACCGAAATTTGTCACCCTCCTGACAGTTCCTGCTATACCTACCCCTTTTGAAAGCCAAGGGCATGGTGACGCAGCCAAAGACTGGACAAGCTGGCATCTGGGCTGAAACCATTCTTAAGCAATAACTCCAAGCAATCTTCATGACCCCTAGGACTGAGAGTAGACAGGCTCACTTTGCCTTCGGCCTGCCACAGAAGCCGCTTAGTAAAGGGACGAGCAAGCGTATATTACTAAGATATGAAAGAATGCTGTTATATGACTACAGAAGTTTACGTGAACAGCAAAATCTTCAATGCACTTTCAAAAACCAGCAACATACAAACATCTTTCAATTACATAAATATTAAAACAGATGATTCCATGTTTAAGAACAGAGTGATCCTTAATGGATAGGGGGTGAATCACACATTTGTAAATTACTTTAAAATATAGCGTGAAATAAAAGACAGTACGTATTTTTCGCTCATATAGGATGACCAGATATAAGACGACCAGTTTGGGGAGAGGAAAACAAGGAAAAAAAATATTTTTGAATCCAGAAAAGCCAGAACAGCAAGAGGGATCTGGCTTCTGGAGATACCGTTGCTATTCTGGCTTCTGGATAACCCGCCAAGCTCTTCAGGGCAAGGGGATAAGGCTCCCTGCCCGAAAAGACTCCCAGCTAAAGCTAAAGAAGAAATATGGCAGCAAAGTCGTAGAGCGGTGCTGACACAGTTCTTTCTTCTGCGCAGCACCTTCCCAATGGAAAGGCGCTGCGCAGAGAGGGAAGAATGGCAAGCGCCTCTATCAAAGCGAAGCTGGAAAGGAACAGAAGTTCCTTCTGTTCCTCTCCAGCTTCACAGGACAGGCGCTCGCTGACGAAGAAAGGAGAATAGAAGAGTCCCTTGTTCCTCCCGGCTTCCAGCCAGGCATTGCTAAGGGCGCTGCGCATTCTCCCTCTCTGTGCAAAGCGCTGTCAGAGAGGGAGAAGCTGCGAGCGCCTCTTCAGCGAAGCGAGAGGAGAACAGAAGGCTCCGTTCCTCCCCGCTTCGCTGAAGGGCGTGCGCAGCTCTACCTCTACTGCGCAGCGCCATTCAACTCCATAAGACGCACTCACATTTCCCCCTTAACTTTATAGGAAGGAAAAGTGCATATGGACGAAAAATACGGTAAAATCTTGTTATAATAGATTGAAGGCAATCTACACCTAAATCTAACGGATGAAGAGACTTTGAATTCAGCAAGATTGCTGAGCTAGTCAAGGCTCAAGCAGGATGCGCCAACACATGTACACTAATGCCAGTTCAACAGAATACAACTAATGTAAGCCTGCAACCAAGCTCAAGTGAGTTCTGCCTCTGAAGCCAGTGGAACTTCTACCCTGACCTTCTGATCGGCAAACACAAAGTTCAATGGTTTAAGACCACACGCCCACCCAACGATCCCAACATTCGAATCACTGTGATGTGGTGAGCTCCCATCTCATGTCCCAGCTCCTGCCAAACTAGCAGTTTGAAAGCATCCAGGCAAATAATAAAATATGGTACCACTGCGGCAAGAGTAAAAACGCGTTTCCGTGCGGCATCTGGTTCCACAGTGTTCAGTTCGCCAAAAGCAGTTTATCCTGCTGCCACATGACCGCAAAGCTGTCTGCGGGTCAACAATTATTCGCTTCTATTCCAAGCCTAGGGACGCGGGTGGCGTTGTGGGTTAAACCACAGAGACTAGGACTTGCCAATCAGGAGGTCGGCAGTTCGAATCCCAGCGACGGGGTGAGCTCCCGTTGCTCGGTCCCTGCTCCTGGAAACCTAGCAGTTCGAAAGCACGTCAAAAAGTGCAAGTAGATAAATAGGTACTGCTCTGGCGGGAAGGTAAACGGCGTTTCCGTGCGCTGCTCTGGTTCGCCAGAAGCGGCTTAGTCATGCTGGCCACATGACCTGGAAGCTGTACGCCGGCTCCCTCAGCCAATAAAGCGAGATGAGCGCCGCAACCCCAGAGTCGGTCACGACTGGACCTAATGGTCAGGGGTCCCTTTACCTTTATTTCAAGCCTGCTTCTTTTTCGGACTTGGGGCTGGAGCAGACATAACGCTCTTGAAACCATGGTTAAGGAATTGGGCTGCAAGAGCATGCGCTTCCTTTGCCCCTAATCTCTCCCCCACAGAAATCCCCATTGTGAGTCCTAATCAAGGCTAAAACCTGAACTTAACCCTAGTTAAATGCTAACCAGGATGTCCACTAGAGGCAGTTTTTCCTCAGTCATAACCATGGTTAATTGATCAGGAATGCCTTACTCATTCACTCCCCCTTTTTGTGCATGTGAACTCCTTGTCAATTTAACCAATGTGCAATGTTACATCTGCCCTGAGATTCATGCCAACCACGATTAGCTTGAAAAGAGGATCTGAAGCTGGTTCACAAACCATGGTTAGAATTGGCCTTGGTGCTGACATAACACCACACCATGGCTAAATGGGGAAAGGAATTATCATGGGAAAGGAGAGCATTTGGGAGAAAGAAGCTACAGTCAGAGGAGTCTGCTTCCAATTACTGTACTGTGCTTATTTAACTGAATCAGAGAATTGGCATTACCTGCAACAGGAACCATATTCTAAAATAGTGCATAAAGCAAAAATTGCATATAGTCAAGACAAACTGGATACAACGGCAAGGTGAAATTGTCAAAGTTTTTTCCAGCCACTTTTTAATTTTTTTGTCAAGCACATAAAGCTGAATGCACACAAGTTAAACGTGCGTACGTTGCGGGTCTATTACATATGCAGATGACTGTCTCATCTAAGGCTTTATAGAACCTTTATGTTAAATAATACCACAAATCACAGGTGGGGGGGGGAAGCCTTCATTGGCAAACTTTTCATTTTTACATATCTGTTTTATTTGCAAAGGGAATCCTTGCAGGAGTTAATACTTTACTGTTCCTTCGGAGTTGCACTGCACTTTTGTACTTTCCCCTTCCAGGCTGTGATGTTCTTATCTTTTTGTTACGATTGTACTTCTTCTTAACAAAATCAATTCTTAAAAATTATTTTAAAAAGAAGAAGAAGAAAGAAATGCTTGTGCCGACAGAACAACCCAGAGCTATTAAGTGCAGTGCATCTGCAAAGTAAAAAACCACAAATAGACAAGGTGATGTGCATCTATATGCATGCATGTACACACAAGTGAATACATGCATGTGGTGTATGCTGCTCACACGTGCACACTGTATTTTATTTCCGATAATGCAGAGACCACTAAAAAACTTTGATTAAAAACAGAACAAGGTATAAACAACACGGAGAAAATTCACAAATGTGAAAGACCTAAAAAATATGAATAAAAGGAAATGTTAACCCCTTCCCCAAAGGCTTGCCTGAATAAATACATTTTTCACATGCACTGAAATCGTTCGGTGAAGGCGCATGTCATATATATATATAGTGTGTGTGTATCTTATGTAATCTTGCTTACCATGATTCATTGAGGAGATGCACCGGATTGAACCCAGCCAACAGGAGGGACGGCAACCATTCTTTGTGCTTGTCTCCTGCAAGAATTGCATTCTTCGTAAATTCCGTCCGGTGCTCTCTGCGTGGAAGCTTACAGCCTCGCTTCAAGAAATGCTGAAATAAGGAGAACCTTCCATCATGCAGACAGAGGCCTAAATCTGCTTCGGAAAGCGTGATCCCATACTTCAGAAGAATGAGGATTAAGCCAGACCTGCAACCAATGTTCAAAAAACACACATTCGTCAATGCAGTTTTGTTTTTCAAAATGTCTGCACTTGAGCACCAAAAGGCCTACAGAGGAACAACTGCAAATCACACTGGGGTGTTGTTTGTGGTGGTGGGAGGGTGTTGTTGTTGGGTGAGTGGTAGCTGTTTGGTTTTCGTATCTATATTTTAGGTTTTGTGATTCATATGGGAATTGTTCAGCTTGGTTGTGTATTTTTTGATGTTTTATCAATTGCATATGACTACTTTTATTATTTTTGAATTACGGTGCTGGAGGAGATTCTTGAGAGTCCCATGGACTGCAAGAAGATCAAACCGATCCAGTCTGAAGGAACTCAGCCCTGAGTGCTCACTGGAAGGACAGATCCTGAAGCTGAGGCTCCAGTACTTTGGCCACATCATGAGAAGAGAAGACTCCCTGGAAAAGACCCTGATGTTGGGAAAGATTGAGGGCACATGGAGAAGGGGAGGACAGAGGACGAGATGGTTGGACAGTGTTCTCGAAGCTATCAGCATGAGTTTGACCAAACTGTGGGAGGCAGTGGAAAACAGGAGTGCCTGGCGTGCTCTGGTCCATGGGGTCATGAAGAGTCGGACATGACTAAACGACTAAACCACCACCACAACTTTTATTATGTTGCAGTTAGGTATTGTTTCCCCCATGTTGTAAGCCGCCTTGAGCATGGTTTGAACTGTGGGAAAGCAGCATACAAATAAAATCATGTGTGCATATGCTCCCCTGCAACCACACATTTCAGGAGAAGATCCACAGTGGTGGGCAAACTGTCTGAGAAAGCAGATCCTTAGTCAGAGGAAGCCCTGGGTCCCCCACAACACTTTGAAAACTGCTGACTTCCTTGATATATCACTGAAGTTCTAATAGTATTTATTGAATCTGCGACAAGCCATGTTACTCTTGCCTGACGTTAGCCATTTCCATTAGTATGGGGAACTGGTTAAACTGCAAGTACGTCCTTCTTTACAAACTGGGATAATGCCTTTCTCACTGGTTACCCTCCTGTTTCTTCTTCGGCATCTAGTTATATTACTGGAAGTTTAAATAGCTTTTGAAACTAAGCAGATAGGAAGAAAGTAAAAAAGCACTGAAAGCATCCAGGTTTTGAAAACACGAGTTGGTTCATGCATAGTGCAAAGCCAAACCCATGGGTTGCTGCTAATATGTGAGCATGCGAGTTCCTAGAGAGGAGACAGCAGCCATTTTGCTCTTCCTCCAGTAATGCTGCTGCTGCGAGCTAAACAATGGTTTGGCTTATATACAATGGTTTGGCTTATAAACAATGGTTTGGCTTCTCTGAATCTGGGCTTATGGTTTGTCTGCTCCAGACAAACCACAAGCTATAAGCCGAAGGAAAAAACCTTGGTTATAAGCCTCGGTTATTGTCTGGAGCAGAAGAAACCGCAAGCCTGCTCAGCCAACCATGGCTTAGCTCACAGCAATGCAGCAGACACAGAGGAAGAACAAATCGGCTGCAATCTTGCCTCCAGGAGTCCACATAATTTGGGCTTAGGGTTGTGTGTTTGATCCGTCTCTACGTAAAAAGAATTTGTTTTTGGAAAAACCAAGTCTCTTGTAACTTATGTAGGACAGTTCCCTGAGGCTGCCTGGACAGTTACTTCTACCAAGGTTGTTAATTATCATAATTTCATAAAAAGAATATCTGCAGAGTGATGCCTCCCTGAATGCTCAAGGTGAGTTATGATAAAAGCAAAAATATCTCGAGAGAGACCATTAGAACAAAATTCAAAATAGGTAAAATATTAACATTAGCAAATGCTAATAGGAAAAAAACCCAACCTTTGCCACACCAAACTGGGCTTATAACTAGGGTTTTAAAAGAAATCCAGTTTATCTGATTTGTTTTTTTAGGGTTCATTAGAAGTCACTGCAATAAGACTGACAAAGGCAAGAATGAATACAAATACACAATAAAATATGACAAAGGACTTTAAGACCTGCAACAGATACACATATCACGTTTGAGAAACTCTGGACTGATAAATGCATTTCTGTTTTAACGCATTTCAGAATTTCTCCTTTCCTGTAAGCTGGAAGAGGGGAAAACCAAACTGCGTCAACAAGCATTCCTCCTGCACCCTCCATGCGTAATATAGAAAGGAAACCCCAGCAGAATCCATGCTAATAACATTATCTTCTTTTTTTAAAAGGAAAATGAGAGATTGATATTAGGAGAGAATCAAGCAGCCATTTCAAGCAGAAGGAGATGGGTGGGGAGGAGAGAGAGAGAGAGAGTTCTATGCTAATTAAGAATATACTTGACTCAATTACAAAATCATGTCAAGTTCCCTAGAGACAGAGATTGCTGATAAAGACCCTTTGAAAGCAAGGAAATTAGACTGAATGTGTGTTCGACAAGCCTCTGCTTCAAAGAGGAAAACTTCCCCAAGGAAATCCTTGCCAGGTTCTTTGGATACGACCCAGAACTAGTATACACCAGGCAGAAGTGCAATTCTGTGGCCGCCTGTTCATCAGGAAGCCTCGTGGATTTAATTGGGCTTACTCCCAGGTTAGTGTTTACACAATTGCAGCCTGAGAGGGAACCCCTGTTTTTAAAAGAAAGCCCTAGAGTAGGAATAGCCAGTGTAGTTCTTTCCAGATGTTGCAGGACCACAGATCCTATCAACCTTGACTTTTCTCCCTGCTGGCTGGGGCTGATCAAAGTTGAAGGTCAACAACATCTGGAAGGTACCACGTTGGTTAAACCTGCCGAGGGCGCATGTGGAATTCCAGCACCGAAGTTCAGAAAGTCCATACGTATGTTTAGCTCTACAGAGGGGGGAAAGACAGCTTCATATATTACACAGCAATATGGAACACAGTATATTACACAGCAATATGGAACCTTGATATATTACACAGCAATATGGAACCTTGCCAACAAAGGTCTGTATAGTAAAAGGTATGGTTTTCCCAGTAGTGATGTACGGAAATGAGAGCTGGACCATAAAGAAGGCTGATCGCCGAAGAATTTATGCTTTTGAATTATGGTGCTGGAGGAGACTCTTGAGAGTCCCATGGACTGCAAGAAGATCAAACCTCTCCATTCTTAAGGAAATCAGCCCTGAGTGCTCACAGGAAGTACAGATCCTGAAGCTGAGGCTCCAATACTTTGGCCACCTCATGAGAAGAGAAGACTCCCTGGAAAAGACCCTGATGTTGGGAAAGATGGAGGGCACAAGGAGAAGGGGACGACAGAGGAAGAGATGGTTGGACAGTGTTCTCCAAGCTACCAGCATGAGTTTGACCAAACTGCGGGAGGCAGTGGAAGACAGGAGTGCCTGGCGTGCTCTGGTCCATGGGGTCACGAAGAGTCGGACACGACTAAACAACAACAAGTTATTTTATGTCAGGTTCTGAGTGATCACTGCCACCGAATTTGTCCACCCTCTCCTGCCAGTTCCTGCTGATACCTACCCCTTTTGGAAAGCCAAGGGCATTGGTGACCTGCAGCCAAAGACTGGACAAGCCTGGGCATCTGGGCTGTAACCTTCCTTAAGCAATAACTCCAAGCAATCTTCATGACCGCCTAGGACTGCAGAGTAGACAGGGCTCACTTTGCCTTCGGCGCTGCCACAGAGCCGGTCAGTAACGGGTACGAGCAAGCGTAGTATACTAAGGATATGAAAAGTGCTTGTTATTGCTACAGGTTTCAGTGCAAGAGCAAAATCTTTCCTGGCACTTTCAAAACCAGCAACCCAACATAACCATCTTTCAATGTTACATAAATATTAAAACAGTGATTCCATGGTTTGAAACAGGTTGATCCTTAATGGATGGGGGGGGTGAGGATCACACATTTGTAAATTACTTTAAAATATAGCGTTGAAATTAAAATGCAGTTACCGTATTTTTCGCTCTATAGGATGCACCAGATGATAAGACGCACCCAGTTTGGGGGAGAGGAAAACAAGGAAAAAATATTTTGAATCCCAGAAGCCAGAACAGCAAGAGGGATCTGGCTTCTGGGATACCGTGTGGCTGTTCTGGCTTCTGGGATAACCGCGCCAAGCCTCTTCAGGGCAGCGGGATGAAGGCTCCCCCTGCCCGAAGAGGCTGCGCAGGGCTAAGGCAGAAGAAATGGCAGGCAAGTCGCTGGAGGGGTGCTGCACAGTTCTCCTTCTCTGCGCAGCACCTCTCCCGCGAAGGAGAGGCGCTGCGCAGAGAGGGAGAACTGCGCAGCGCTCTTCAAGCGAAGCTGGAGAAGGAACAGAAGGGTCTCCTTCTGTTCCTCCTCCAGCTTCACAGGACAGGCGCCTCGCTGCGAAGCGAGAGGAGGAATAGAAGGAGTCCCTTCTGTTCCTCCTCCGGCTTCCAGCCAGGCATGTGGCTGAAGGGGCGCTGCGCAGTTCTCCCTCTCTGTGCAGAGGCGCTGTGCAGAGAGGGAGAGCTGCGCAGCGCCTCTTCAGCGAAGCGGGAGGAGGAACAGAAGGGCCTCCGTTCCTCCTCCCGCTTCGCTGAAGGGGCGCTGCGCAGCTCTACCTCTCTGCGCAGCGCCATTCACTCCATAAGACGCACTCACATTTCCCCCTTACTTTATAGGAGGGAAAAGGTGCATATGGAGCGAAAAATACGGTAAATCTTGGTTTACATAGATTTGAAGCGCAATCTACACCTAAGATCTACTTGGATGAGAGACTTTGCATTCAGCAGATTTGCTGGCTGAGTCAAGGCTCAGCCAGGGATGCGCCAACACATGTCCCTAATGCCAGTTCAGCCAGAGATACACTGATGTAAGCCCTGCAACCCAGCTCAAGTGGGGTTCTGGCCTCTGAGCCAGTGGAACTTCCTACCCCTGGACCTTCTGATCGGCAAACCCAAGAGGTTCAATGGTTTAGACCACAGCGCCCACCCACATCCCCACATTCGAATCCATGTGATGGTGGTGAGCTCCCATTGCTCTGTCCCAGCTCCTGCCAACCTAGCAGTTTGAAAGCATGCCAGTGCAAGTAGATAAATAGGTACCACTGCGGCAAGGAGGTAAACGGCGTTTCCGTGCGCTCTGGTTTCCAGCAGTGTTCCGTTGCGCCAAAAGCAGTTTAGTCCTGCTGGCCACATGACCCGGAAAGCTGTCTGCGGACAAACGCCAGCTCCTTCGGCCTGAAAAGCGAGATGAGCGCTGCAGCCCCATAGTCGCCTTTGACTGGACTTAACCGTCCAAGGGTCCTTTACCTTCCTACCCCTGGAGTACAAGGTAAGTCTAGTGACAACTTTGTTTGCTTGGAAATTGGAGCAGCTTCTTCTAGAACCTACTTGCTGTGCCCCATTTCTGCTGCAGCATGGATGGGTAACTGCCACTCATCTTCATTGCAGTACAGGTTTGGATCTGCTCCGCTGGATAACAACAGCTCCGTGCATTCGTCATTGCCCTCCTGCGCAGCGATAAATAACGGAGTGGCCCGATCCTTGGCTTTACAGTTGACGTTTGCTCCTGATAGACAACAGAGAACCCAGTAATTAATGAATAAGAGAGGTGGTTAAAGCCCAGCACTCTGCATCTTGCAAACATTCCTGCCGTTCAATAGGACCACTGTAATAATAATAATAATAATATCTTTATTGTCATTGCCCCCTCTCGGGGACAACGAAATTACCTTTACTGTGTATGCTTGCTATGCATGCTCAGGGAGTTATGAAGTACACTGTAGGGTCAAACTAACGGCCCATCTGGTCTTGCCAAACGCCTCTGAATGAGCAAAAGCATGTATGCAACAACGGCCGCGAGAGTTCTGGTAGCACAAGGATGGAAGACTGAAGGAACCCCAACTAAAGAATCATGGCAAGAAAAATTGACGGACTATGCAGAACTGGCAAAACTGACATACAAGCTACGGGACAAGGATAACTGTGACTTTAAGGATGAATGGGAACCCTTTACAAAGTATCTGAAGACGCAACAAAGCGAACTGGACTCCTTGGCAGGTTTTGAATGAACATTCGCAAACTTTTTATTGATAACAATCAGCTAAATAGTTTGAGGATCTATACAACTTTGTAACATGCAGAAAACAGCATTTTTAGAGAAATCAAAGACTGGAACTGAGGGAAGTCGGGGGGTGGGGGGCGGGTGGGTTTTGTGTGGGAGAGGGGGAGGGAGGAAAAATGGGGGGGGACAAGGATGATATGTTTTTGGATAATATGTCTTGTTTTAATTTTGAATTAAAAAAAACTATTAAAAAAAGGAATGCTCAAAAGCAGACTATGACATTAACAAATATCCCCTCAATATCTGATCATCAGAGATACACTGCCTACAAATGTGGAGGTTTCACTTCCCCGGCCCTTCAGTCATCACCAGGGGCCCTTCTCTGTGTGCCTCCTTTGAGAGAGGTGCAGAAGGTGGCAATGCAATAGTGAGTCCCCCCCGCCCAGTAGTGGTTCCCCTTTTGTGGAATGCTCTCCCAAGGGAAAAAGGCCTGGCATCAACATGGTCAGCTTTCAGACACCAGCTTTAGGACTACCCTTCTTGCCCAAGCTTCTTGGATTGCACCTTTATATGACTCTGGCCTTTACTATGGTACTCATTTTCTCGTGGGGGGGGGTCGGATCTGTTCTTTCTAGAGTATTATTGATCATATGTTTTTTTTTAGGAATTTGGACTTATACAGTGGTACCTCGGGTTACATATGCTTCAGGTTACATACGCTTCAGGTTACAGACTCCACTAACCCAGAAATGGTCTTCAGGTTAAGAACTTTGCTTCAGGATGAGAACAGAAATCGTGCTCCGGCAGCGCGGCGGCAGCAGCGGGAGGCCCCATTAGCTAAAGTGGTGCTTCAGGTTAAGAACAGTTTCAGGTTAAGAACAGACCTCCCGAACGAATTAAGTACTTAACCCAAGGTACCACTGTATTTCTTGTTCTTTAAGATTGTAGTCAATATCGTGTTACGCATGTCAGTCCATCAGTGCCCAGATTTCTCCCTCTGCAACAGAACACTCTTCTATTCTCAACTCTTCTCTTCTCCTCTCATCACTTGCTCCCTAAACCTGTTCTGGGGGGGGGGGTTACCCCAAATCCTCCAGAGCAGATTTGGGGATGATGCAGACATGCACATGTGAGGAGAGAAGGGATACCTGGTTGTGCTGTAGCTAATCCTTGCATTAGTGCAACGTTTTAGATAAACGCCATCATTATTTTTTAAACTGTTTTGCATTTTATGGAGATGTAAATCTATTACTTTTCTTTTTATAATGCAACAAAATAACAACAAATCCCTCCATAAATTTATTTTAAAACTTTTTAAAGCTATCTAAGCTACAGGTCTCTGCTACAACCTGCAGTAGGTGCTCTAACCCTAAGCTACAACTCTTCTCCTTGAAACATTCACTAATAAGCCACTTCTATTAAACAATAGCAATACTGTTATTCTTACACGAAGGAAATCTGCTGAAAGACAGCAGCGTCACAGAAACAGAAAAGGGTTACCGTATGATATAAGTATCCTTAAACTTTCCAGCTTCCCATACTGCGCAGCAACAAATAAAGGGGTGATCCCAAAATCATCCACACATTCTTTTTCGGCTCCTTTGTCGAGGAGTAATTTCAATATCTCCGGGTAGTTCTGAAAGTGGGTAAAAAAGGAGTTCATTGTTGTTAAAAACAGAGCAAGATCTCGACATGTATTTGCATAGAGTACCGTGCCGTTGTTCGTGGTTCCCAGCGCTTAGTAGTGTCTCCCTCCCTCAACCACTCTGAAAATAGGGACGGAGGAGAAATTTATATTTAAAGCCTAATCTATCAAAGTCACGGGATTCTGCAAGGCCCAGCCCAGAACGCCCGCTGCTCTAGCAGTTCAGAGAGCATTCTGTGCCAAAGAACTTTGGAGGTTGGCTTGGGCAGGGAATTGCAGGCAATGAAACTCTCCAGCTTGTATTTTACCTTTTAAATACTGAAACTCCTCTGCCTGTTGTTTGAGGAGCCCCAGTGCATCGGGACAAAAGAATTATTTCAAGCAAATTAATGTTCAACAACAGATTTATCACCCATGTTATGCCTGATCATTTCTTAAAACACGTGTAATACTTTAAATATTTTAACATGCGCGCTGTGTTTAACGCTCGGCACAATTCCTGCCGTATTCAGAACGATCATTTGCATTTAAACTGACTTTTCTGCACCCGGCTGTCATAAATCACCAAAAGGAACAGCATGCAAAGACTACACAAAGCTGCCATTTTAAGAGAGAGAAGGAGAAAGAGTAAAACTTTATTTATATGGAAATGAAATTATGGATTTATAGATTACCTGAAAAGCAGCTTGGTGCAGTGAATTCCATTCAGACCAACAGTGGGGACCATTAATATTTGCTCCTTGTTGAAGGAGAAGCTTTATCACGGCAACGTGTCCATTTTGAACAGCTATAAACAGAGGGTTAAAAACCATTATTCTTATCAGCTACACCACATACGTTCATAATAATCAACACCATCACCAGAATGCTGTTTTCCATCCGCTACTGAAGTCAGAATTAATTCTCTTAAGTAGTCGTGCAGCACTGCACAACCCTCAACTTCCCTGCATAAAAAGGAAAAGTAAAAAAAAAAAAATCATTTCCAAGAGATGTCTGCTATGGAGGCAAAAGATTTGCAACTTCCTAGGCAGCCAGTGAACTGTACATTATCAGTTTTCATCGTATGGTGAAGACACACCTCTTTACCCTGGCCTTTTGACATTTGAAATATGTACCGTATTTTTCCGTGTATAACACGCCCCCTGTATAAGATGCCCCCTAATTTGGGGGACTCAAAATTAAGAAAATGGGGGGAGGTTGCCCCCGTGTATAAGACTACCCCCCCCTTTTTAGCATTAAAGGTAAAGGTAAAGGTACCCCTGCCCGTACGGGCCAGTCTTGACAGACTCTGGGGTTGTGCGCCCATCTCACTCAAGAGGCCAGGGGCCAGCGCTGTCCGGAGACACTTCTGGGTCACGTGGCCAGCGTGACAAAGCTGCATCTGGTGAGCCAATGCAGCACACGGAACGCCGTTTACCTTCCCGCTGGTAAGCGGTCCCTATTTATCTACTTGCACCCGGGGGTGCTTTCGAACTGCTAGGTTGGCAGGCGCTGGGACCGAGCAGCGGGAGCGCACCCTGCCGCGGGGATTCGAACCGCCGACCTTTCGATCGGCAAGCCCTAGGCGCTGAGGCTTTTACCCACAGCACCACCCGTGTCCCTAGCATTATTTTAGCATTATTTTTTAGTAAAAAAACCTAGTCTTATACACGGAAAAATACAGTATATTTAACATGCACTCTGGCTGTGCATGTTATCTGTTTTAATGTTGTGTTTTACACTGGCAATCCACCCTGGGACCTTGTGGTGAAGGGTAGGTAATAAATACAGAAACAACAAGAATAACAATGACAGCATAACAACAACATGATGGAAGTGTTGAGCTCAACATATTTCCTTCACCATCCTCCTCTCGTGCACAAGGATGAGATCAGAACCTTTTGCTACCACTTTTAAAACAATCTGTTCCACTTTACCTCCGAACTCGGGAAACTGTGGTTTGTTTGAGCACATTAGGCGCCGACCCCATGGGCCTGAGGGGGCCCGAGCCCCCTCCAAAAATTTTATTGGGGGGGCTCCGCCCCCCCAATAATTTAAAAAATTATCGCGCGCCTTGGCTCCCTCGTCCGCGCGCCTTGGCTCCCGCGGCCGGCGAGGGGAGCCCGGGCCGCGCGCGGCTGCTGCTGCCGCCTCTCCTGGGGGCGCCGCCTCCCCGGCGGGAACGCTGCGGTTGCGCGAGGGAGGAGGGCGGCCCCCGGGGGCTGGGAGAGCCGGGCTGCTGTGGCCGAGAGGGCTGCTCTGCCGGGCGCCGCTGACATAATTTAAGCAAATTATCGCGCGCCTTGGCTCCCGCGGCCGGCGAGGGGAGCCCGGGCCGCGCGCGGCTGCTGCTGCTGCCGCCGTTTGTGGTCATGGCGGAGCTGCGCTCGCCGGGAGGAGGGAGAGGGGCTGGCGGGGGGCAGGCGGTGAAGGGGCTTGGCTGCGCTCTCTCTCTCTCTCTCTGGTCTCTCTCTCCGGTCTCTCTCTCTCTCTCTCTCTCTCGGCTCTCTCTCTCTCTCTCTCTCTCGGGCTCTCTCTCTCTCTCTCTCTCGGTCTCTCTCTCTCGCTCTCCTCTCTCTCTCCTCTCTCTCTCTCTCTCGGGCTCTCTCTCTCTCGGGCGCTCTCTCTCTCTCTCTCGGCCTCTCTCTCTCTCTCTCGGGCTCTCTCTCTCTCTCTCTCTCTCTCTCTCTCTCTTCTCCTCTCCTCTCTCTCTCGGCTCTCTCTCTCTCTCTCTCCTCGCTCTCTCTCTCTCGGGCTCCACAGCGCCCCCCACATCCCCACATTCGAATCCATGTGATGGTGGTGAGCTCCCATTGCTCTGTCCCAGCTCCTGCCAACCTAGCAGTTTGAAAGCATGCCAGTGCAAGTAGATAAATAGGTACCACTGCGGCAAGGAGGTAAACGGCGTTTCCGTGCGCTCTGGTTTCCAGCAGTGTTCCGTTGCGCCAAAAGCAGTTTAGTCCTGCTGGCCACATGACCCGGAAAGCTGTCTGCGACAAACGCCCAGCTCCTTCGGCCTGAAAAGCGAGATGAGCGCTGCAGCCCCATAGTCGCCTTTGACTGGACTTAACCGTCCAAGGGTCCTTTACCTTCCTACCCCTGGAGTACAAGGTAAGTCTAGTGACAACTTTGTTTGCTTGGAAATTGGAGCAGCTTCTTCTAGAACCTACTTGCTGTGCCCCATTTCTGCTGCAGCATGGATGGGTAACTGCCACTCATCTTCATTGCAGTACAGGGTTTGGATCTGCTCCGCTGGATAACAACAGCTCCGTGCATTCGTCATTGCCCTCCTGCGCAGCGATAAATAACGGAGTGGCCCGATCCTTGGCTTTACAGTTGACGTTTGCTCCTGATAGACAACAGAGAACCCAGTAATTAATGAATAAGAGAGGTGGTTAAAGCCCAGCACTCTGCATCTTGCAAACATTCCTGCCGTTCAATAGGACCACTGTAATAATAATAATAATAATATCTTTATTGTCATTGCCCCCTCTCGGGGACAACGAAATTACCTTTACTGTGTATGCTTGCTATGCATGCTCAGGGAGTTATGAAGTACACTGTAGGGTCAAAACTAACGGCCCATCTGGTCTTGCCAAACGCCTCTGAATGAGCAAAAGCATGTATGCAACAACGGCCGCGAGAGTTCTGGTAGCACAAGGATGGAAGACTGAAGGAACCCCAACTAAAGAATCATGGCAAGAAAAATTGACGGACTATGCAGAACTGGCAAAACTGACATACAAGCTACGGGACAAGGATAACTGTGACTTTAAGGATGAATGGGAACCCTTTACAAAGTATCTGAAGACGCAACAAAGCGAACTGGACTCCTTGGCAGGTTTTGAATGAACATTCGCAAACTTTTATTGATAACAATCAGCTAAATAGTTTGAGGATCTATACAACTTTGTAACATGCAGAAAACAGCATTTTTAGAGAAATCAAAGACTGGAACTGAGGGAAGTCGGGGGGTGGGGGGGCGGGTGGGTTTGTGTGGGAGAGGGGGAGGGAGGAAAAATGGGGGGGGGACAAGGATGATATGTTTTTGGATAATATGTCTTGTTTTAATTTTGAATTAAAAAAACTATTAAAAAAATGAATGCTCAAAAGCAGACTATGACATTAACAAATATCCCCTCAATATCTGATCATCAGAGATACACTGCCTACAAATGTGGAGGTTTCACTTCCCCGGCCCTTCAGTCATCACCAGGGGCCCTTCTCTGTGTGCCTCCTTTGAGAGAGGTGCAGAAGGTGGCAATGCAATAGTGAGTTCCCCCCCCCCCCAGTAGTGGTTCCCCTTTTGTGGAATGCTCTCCCAAGGGAAAAACGCCTGGCATCAACATGGTCAGCTTTCAGACACCAGCTTTAGGACTACCCTTCTTGCCCAAGCTTCTTGGATTGCACCTTTATATGACTCTGGCCTTTACTATGGTACTCATTTTCTCGTGGGGGGGGTCGGATCTGTTCTTTCTAGAGTATTATTGATCATATGTTTTTTTTAGGAATTTGGACTTATACAGTGGTACCTCGGGTTACATATGCTTCAGGTTACATACGCTTCAGGTTACAGACTCCACTAACCCAGAAATGGTCTTCAGGTTAAGAACTTTGCTTCAGGATGAGAACAGAAATCGTGCTCCGGCAGCGCGGCGGCAGCAGCGGGAGGCCCCATTAGCTAAAGTGGTGCTTCAGGTTAAGAACAGTTTCAGGTTAAGAACAGACCTCCCGAACGAATTAAGTACTTAACCCAAGGTACCACTGTATTTCTTGTTCTTTAAGATTGTAGTCAATATCGTGTTACGCATGTCAGTCCATCAGTGCCCAGATTTCTCCCTCTGCAACAGAACACTCTTCTATTCTCAACTCTTCTCTTCTCCTCTCATCACTTGCTCCCTAAACCTGTTCTGGGGGGGGGGGGTTACCCCAAATCCTCCAGAGCAGATTTGGGGATGATGCAGACATGCACAGGTGAGGAGAGAAGGGATACCTGGTTGTGCTGTAGCTAATCCTTGCATTAGTGCAACGTTTTAGATAAACGCCATCATTATTTTTTAAACTGTTTTGCATTTTATGGAGATGTAAATCTATTACTTTTCTTTTTATAATGCAACAAAATAACAACAAATCCCTCCATAAATTTATTTTAAAACTTTTAAAAGCTATCTAAGCTACAGGTCTCTGCTACAACCTGCAGTAGGTGCTCTAACCCTAAGCTACAACTCTTCTCCTTGAAACATTCACTAATAAGCCACTTCTATTAAACAATAGCAATACTGTTATTCTTACATGAAGGAAATCTGCTGAAAGACAGCAGCGTCACAGAAACAGAAAAGGGTTACCGTATGATATAAGTATCCTTAAACTTTCCAGCTTCCCATACTGCGCAGCAACAAATAAAGGGGTGATCCCAAAATCATCCACACATTCTTTTTCGGCTCCTTTGTCGAGGAGTAATTTCAATATCTCCGGGTAGTTCTGAAAGTGGGTAAAAAAGGAGTTCATTGTTGTTAAAAACAGAGCAAGATCTCGACATGTATTTGCATAGAGTACCGTGCCGTTGTTCGTGGTTCCCAGCGCTTAGTAGTGTCTCCCTCCCTCAACCACTCTGAAAATAGGGACGGAGGAGAAATTTATATTTAAAGCCTAATCTATCAAAGTCACGGGATTCTGCAAGGCCCAGCCCAGAACGCCCGCTGCTCTAGCAGTTCAGAGAGCATTCTGTGCCAAAGAACTTTGGAGGTTGGCTTGGGCAGGGAATTGCAGGCAATGAAACTCTCCAGCTTGTATTTTACCTTTTAAATACTGAAACTCCTCTGCCTGTTGTTTGAGGAGCCCCAGTGCATCGGGACAAAAGAATTATTTCAAGCAAATTAATGTTCAACAACAGATTTATCACCCATGTTATGCCTGATCATTTCTTAAAACACGTGTAATACTTTAAATATTTTAACATGCTCGCTGTGTTTAACGCTCGGCACAATTCCTGCCGTATTCAGAACGATCATTTGCATTTAAACTGACTTTTCTGCACCCGGCTGTCATAAATCACCAAAAGGAACAGCATGCATAGACTACACAAAGTTGCCATTTTAAGAGAAGAGAAGGAGAAAGAGTAAAACTTTATTTATATGGAAATGAAATTACGGATTTATAGATTACCTGAAAAGCAGCTTGGTGCAGTGAATTCCATTCAGACCAACAGTGGGGACCATTAATATTTGCTCCTTGTTGAAGGAGAAGCTTTATCACGTCAACGTGTCCATTTTGAACAGCTATAAACAGAGGGTTAAAAACCATTATTCTTATCAGCTACACCACATACGTTCATAATAATCAACACCATCACCAGAATGCTGTTTTCCATCCGCTACTGAAGTCAGAATTAATTCTCTTAAGTAGTCGTGCAGCACTGCACAACCCTCAACTTCCCTGCATAAAAAGGAAATGTAAAAAAAAAAAAATCATTCCCAAGAGATGTCTGCTATGGAGGCAAAAGATTTGCAACTTCCTAGGCAGCCAGTGAACTGTACATTATCAGTTTTCATCGTATGGTGAAGACACACCTCTTTACCCTGGCCTTTTGACATTTGAAATATGTACCGTATTTTTCCGTGTATAACACGCCCCCTGTATAAGATGCCCCCTAATTTGGGGGACTCAAAATTAAGAAAATGGGGGGAGGTTGCCCCCGTGTATAAGACTACCCCCCCTTTTTAGCATTAAAGGTAAAGGTAAAGGTACCCCTGCCCGTACGGGCCAGTCTTGACAGACTCTGGGGTTGTGCGCCCATCTCACTCAAGAGGCCAGGGGCCAGCGCTGTCCGGAGACACTTCTGGGTCACGTGGCCAGCGTGACAAAGCTGCATCTGGTGAGCCAATGCAGCACACGGAACGCCGTTTACCTTCCCGCTGGTAAGCGGTCCCTATTTATCTACTTGCACCCAGGGGTGCTTTCGAACTGCTAGGTTGGCAGGCGCTGGGACCGAGCAGCGGGAGCGCACCCTGCCGCGGGGATTCAAACCACCGACCTTTCGATCCGCAAGCCCTAGGCGCTGAGGCTTTTACCCACAGCACCACCCGTGTCCCTAGCATTATTTTAGCATTATTTTTTAGTAAAAAAACCTAGTCTTATACACGGAAAAATACAGTATATTTAACATGCACTCTGGCTGTGCATGTTATCTGTTTTAATGTTGTGTTTTACACTGGCAATCCACCCTGGGACCTTGTGGTGAAGGGTAGGTAATAAATACAGAAACAACAAGAATAACAATGACAGCACAACAACAACAACATGATGGAAGTGTTGAGCTCAACATATTTCCTTCACCATCCTCCTCTCGTGCACAAGGATGAGATCAGAACCTTTTGCTACCACTTTTAAAACAATCTGTTCCACTTTACCTCCGAACTCGGGAAACTGTGGTTTGTTTGAGCACATAGGCGCCGACCCCATGGGGCCTGAGGGGGCCCGAGCCCCCTCAAAAATTTTATTGGGGGGCTCCGCCCCCCCAATAATTTAAAAAATTATCGCGCGCCTTGGCTCCCTCGTCGCGCGCCTTGGCTCCCGCGGCCGGCGAGGGGAGCCCGGGCCGCGCGCGGCTGCTGCTGCCGCCTCTCCTGGGGGCGCCGCCTCCCCGGGCGGGAACGCTGCGGTTGCGCGAGGGAGGAGGGCGGCCCCCGGGGGCTGGGAGAGCCGGGCTGCTGTGGCCGAGAGGGCTGCTCTGCCGGGCGCCGCTGACATAATTTAAGCAAATTATCGCGCGCCTTGGCTCCCGCGGCCGGCGAGGGGAGCCCGGGCCGCGCGCGGCTGCTGCTGCTGCCGCCGTTTGTGGTCATGGCGGAGCTGCCGCCTAGGGAGGAGGGGAGAGGGGGCTGGCGGGGGGGGCAGGCGGTGAAGGGGGCTTGGCTGCGCTCTCTCTCTCTCTCTCTCTCTCTCTCGGGCTCTCTCTCTCTCTCGGTCTCTCTCTCTCTCTCTCTCTCGGGCTCTCTCTCTCTCTCTCTCGGGCTCTCTCTCTCTCTCTCTCGCTCTCTCTCTCTGGCTCTCTCTCTCTCTCGGGCTCTCTCTCTCTCGGGCGCTCTCTCTCTCTCTCTCTCGGGCTCTCTCTCTCTCTCTCGGGCTCTCTCTCTCTCTCTCGGTCTCTCTCTCTCGGTCTCTCTCTCTCTCTCTCGGTCTCTCTCTCTCTCTCTCTCTCGGGCTCTCTCTCTCTCTCTCTCGCTCTCTCTCTCTCGGGCTCTCTCTCTCTCTCTCTCTCTCGGGCTCTCTCTCTCTCTCTCTCTCGGGCTCTCTCTCTCTCTCTCCGGGCTCTCTCTCTCTCTCTCTCTCGGGCTCTCTCTCTCTCTCTCTCGGGCTCTCTCTCTCTCTCTCGGGCTCTCTCTCTCTCTCTCTCGGGCTCTCTCTCTCTCTCTCGGGCTCTCTCTCTCTCTCTCTCTCGGGCTCTCTCTCTCTCTCCGGCTCTCTCTCTCTCGGGCTCTTCCCGCCCAGGGCTTGTGGGCATCTGCTCTGAGATGAAGATGGAGGTGACTTCCCTTAAAGGTCATGGAATCATAGAGGTGGAAGGGACCCAAAGGTCATCCAGTCCAACCCCCAGCAATTCAGGACTCACAGCTAAAGCATCCCTGGCAGATGCCCCCCCCGACCTCTCCCTAAAAGCCCCTTCCCCTGTCTGACTGCTCTCACCACCAGAAAGGCCTTCCTAATGTTTTGTGGGAATCTCATTAAGCCTACAGAGCTATATATGCAAATGGATCTACTTATTCTTTCCCTTGAAGATACATTGATTTGTTTGTTACTGTGGTTTCGATCAATACTTTCCAAAGATCTTTACATTTGTCCATGCATGATCTTTGTCTGAAAGCTCATGGGTTGCAGGAGTTGTCATAGGAGGTTATATTTTTGTCCTTCCAACTGTTATGGAAATTACAGGGGGGGGGACATCTTTAAAGTTGTTAAATGTTGCAAATATTATGCCTGAATGTACCCTTTCAACTTGACAGCTCAGGGAAGTTACCTAGATAAAATCCTGTAACACAATGTATCAGCCTTAATCATTTTGCAGATGTTAAGGGGGGGGGGCAGAGCCTGCAGCCACCATCCCTTTCCGGTGGGGAGGGGGCAGAGGAAAGACAGGAAGCTTTCCCCTGCAGAGTTAGACCCCTTGGCTGCGTGGCCCTCGGGTCCCTTCAAACTCCTGGGCGTTTTGCTGGTGGGGGGCTGTGTGGGGGCCTGGGCGATGTCAGAAGAGGAAGCTTGCAGGCCTGGTTGTCTGTTGGGGGCAGCAGGAAGAGGCGGAGGGCAGGATGTGCAGCCCCTGCCTGGCTTTCCTGTGGGACCAAGGAAGCGGCTGGGGGGGGGACTTGGCCGCTGGCCTTTGTTGCGGAGGCGGCAGTGTGGGAACGCCAGTCCCAAGGGCAGCCTCTGGGGTCTGGGTGCTGCTGCCTGTCTCCTGCCATGGACTTGGCGGGGGGGGGGCTGTGCTATTGGGCTGGCAGAGACTTAACGGGGGGCTGCCTCTCCCAGCCAAAGCTGACCCACAAAATTGCAACCCAGTGTGTGTGTTTGTGGGGGGGGGGGAACCAGCCTGCGCAGGGTAAGCCCCGATGGGGCTCCTGGGCTCCTTCTGATGCATGAAAATTGGAGGTTGTCCTTTACAGCTCAGCTCCCCAAGGGGCTCAAAGCCTCCCAAGTCCATTATCAGTCGGAGACGAATGAGTGGAAGCTGGAAGAAAGGGGGAATCTTTATTTTTCTGTTGAAACAGAGCCCTCCTTCCCACTGACATTTGCAAGGAGGGGAGGACCCCAAACAAAGGTGTGCAGCAGCTTTGAAAGACTTTTCCGGCTCAACATCAGGAAGAGCTTTCTGACAATAAGAGCTGTTCAGACGGTCTCTGCTCCCTGGAAGAGGCTAGGTGGCCATCTGTCAGGGATGCTTGAGCTAAGATTCCTGCATTGCAGGGGGCTGGACTAGATGACCTTGGGGTCCCTTCTGTCTCTATGATTCTATGATTAGCATAATACAAGCATCTCAGGAAGAGGCATCTACCAACAGAAATCCAAGAGTGTGGCTTCTCTCCTGTCTGTCAAGGGACCTGCAGATGCTGATTGCCTTACTTGGCCAGTTCCTTAGGACTGGTACATACAGTCATACCTCGGGTTACAGATGCTTCAGCTTAAGCATTTTCAGGTTATGGATGCACTGAAACCCAGAAGTACCGGAATGGGTTACTTCCAGGTTTCGGCACTTGTGCATGAGCAGAAGCGCTAAATCACAACCTGTGTGTGCGCAGACGCAGCAATGTGAGTTGCGAACACTGCGGGTTGCGAACGTGCCTCCCACATGGATCACGTTTGCAACCCGAGCGTCCACTGTACCTTGGTTCTCGAACAGAATGCGTTCCGGGAGTCCATTGGACTCCTGGAACCATTTGAAAACCAGAGTGCGGCTTCTGCCAGAGGAGCCCCCTGCAGCCAATCGGAAGCCGCACCGGATGTTCGCCCTCCAAAAATCATTTGAAAACCAGAACACTCACTTCCGGGTTTCGATTGTTCAGAAGCCGATTTGTTTGGGAGCCAAGGTGCTCGGCTTCTCAGGTACAACCGAACCTGAGTCCTTGGGGGCGCCGCCTCCCCGGGCGGGAACGCTGCGGGTGCACGAGGGAGGAGGGCGGCCCCCGGGGGCTGGGAGAGCCAGGCTGCCGTGGCCGAGAGGGCTGCTCTGCCGGGCGCCGCTGACATTGGAACTTAGAAAACTTCCCGGGGCAGGACCCCGGTATGGGCCCCCCCCAATATTTTTTATAAGTCGGCACCCCTGTTTGAGCAGGCCAGGGTCTGAAACCACAGCTTGATCCTGGTTTTCTTCCAACAAACCGCAGTTCCTCACGTTCAGGTGTAATGGGAAATGGTGCTTAATTCTAAAGTGGAGACAAAAGCTTTTGGTTCCTTCCTTGTGGCTATGCAGTGCTGGATTTACGTATAAGCTAAACAAGCTATAGCTTAGGGCCCCACTCTCTTGGGGCCCCCAAAAAAATTTTAAAGGAAAAAAAACTGGACGTACATTTCCAAAATATAAGATAAAAAACAAATAAAATAAAACCTACATACAGCAACAGTGTTTTGTGTTGTGTAGGCTCCTATGATGTAAGTAATGGGCCCCGCCTGCTAGCCTGCTCCCTAAACTATCACTGGTTTGCTCATTTCTATATATAGGGTGCCTGCATTCTGCATGTGCAACTGGCTTTAGATACCTATTAGGTCCATAAATTAGAATATAGCA